AGGGGGTGAGGGGGGGGGGGTGGATTATGACATGGACTGGATATAGTGTCTGTGTGTGTGAGGATAAAGTTTCACATGCAGCGCTCCGATGTCACAGACACTGAGGTCAAACCTGGGTCAGTGGACCACTGCAGGGACACAAATACCCACAACCCCCTGCTGCTGCTGCTGCTGTTTTATGGATAACTGACTTGGTTTTATGTGCTGATCCATCAGCGGACACTGGTCTTGGCGTTTCAGGGACAGCACGTGTTCGTCAGTCCACGTTCCGTCCCCTGAGGTCACGTGTTTGACGTTCGTGAACCTGACAGTTTTACCTGCACAGATTCATCTCCAGCTTTGGTTTCTTCAAGTCTGTTTCACCACCACTTCTTTTTTTTTACTATATTTCATTTTTCCACAAATGTAAAAGTCAGACCTTCTTTAGTCAAAGTCATTGTTAAAAAGAAAAGTTTTAAAAATACAATAAAAGTGTTGAAACACCAACAGCATCAGAACACACTTTAGAAGATAAACAGAAAATGAATAAGAAATTAAACACACTTTAGAAGATAAACAGAAAATGAATAAAAATTATGAACATACCATATACCATACCATCTAATCTAATCTAATATATATATAACATAAATGTACTCATCAGTACACACTGATGTACTGTGTAAACATAAAGTCGTTGTATTTACGTTGTAGTCCCTGCTGAGTCTTGGACGGGCCATCTAATGGTCACTTGGGAGATTGCAGCTTCAGGGATTTTCCCAGTGTTTGACCAGATCATATTTGACTCACAGTCTGTGAAAGGATATAAAAACAAATGATGTCTTTTTATTCCCCCTTCTTTCTCCGTGCCGCTGAGCCCTTGAGCAGATGTATAGGGAAGTTTATCGGCTCTTTAGGGAACGTGAAGGAAACGAGAATCGTGCAGATGTTGCAGACGCCCAACCACAATCCTCCGACGCGCCATAAATCATGGTTGTCATGAAGCAGTTCAGGGATTATTGACCGTCATCAACGGTCATACCTGAAACCACACACAAACACACACACACACACACACACACTCTCTCTCTTTAGTTACACTGACGGACCAAAACAAAAAGTCGACCTAGCGCAGCGCCACGGTAACACCATGTGACCCGCGCCTTCTGCGTCCGTATCGTCACCGTGATCGGCGGTGAATCGCGGACTTCGCTACATTTGGTCTGGTTTGCAGCAGCGTTACAGGGTTCACGTTACACCTTTACAAGTTTCTCCCCCCGGTGGCAGAACAGGAATGCTGCGCTGAGAGTCGTGACACGCTGAGACGCAACACAAGCGCTGCCCTCCACCCACCCCACCCTGATCCTCCTCACCCCCGGGGAGGGTTTCAGGGGTTGCTCCTCCTTTGGTAACCTGTGAAGCGTGTCTCTAAGGCCCCCCCCCCCCCCCCAGTGTTGTATAAACAGTGGTTCAGAAGGCACAGAGTGAGACACTGTACTGTATCGACTCCCAACATTCCTCCGTGGTACCAGGAGACACCACGTCCACCGACCAATCACGGCCCAGGGTTTAACAACAAATAAAGGAAGTGTAAACATCAAAACAATTGGAACTCCAACATTTGGCTGTTTGGGCTAACGTAACGCAGAGCTCTGCTGTCACGTGGTGCTGTACACCTCCTGAAGGTGGAGACAAACAGAATAATAATAAAAAAAAAACCCACAATTTTTCATACATGTGAAACTTCATATAAAATATATATTTTTAAACATATTTTCATCAATTCTGTGCTAATGTAGCGTTAGCCGTACAAGCTAGCTTTTTTCTTCCAACATGTGACTGCACTTTGAATGTGAGGGTTTTTTTCCTTTCTTTTTTTTTACCTGAAAGAAACATGGTCGACCCCCCCAACCCCCACCCCAAACACACACACACAGGAAGTCAACGATGATGTGACGAGAGACGCCTTTCGACCGCGGACGCGTGTGTCGAGGCTCACACTCCTGTGTGGAGCAGTGAATGTGTCAGGACGTGTGTGTGTGTGTGTGTGTGTGTGAGCTCCAGTCCCCTGGGGGGGGGTGTTTAAGGTGAATGGTCTTGTGCCTGTGTGTGTCTGCCGTATTCAGGCGCTCATGTCCGATCACGTTTCTTTTGACTCCTGCCTTGTTGTGGTGCCAACGTGAAATCCTGCCTTTGTGTCGACGTTTCATCTCCGCGCTGCCTTTCATTCGCCTCCGTATTAGCCGTTAGCACTTAGCAGAGCTATTGTTGGCGCGAGGTTCCTGGAGGTGAGCCAGAGGACACCGGGGCTGAGAAACTGATCGTTCCATCAAATCACCTGAAGAAGTTCGTCACCGGGCTTTAATGAAAGGAGCATCATGGGAAAATTAGGTTTGTTATTGACTGAAAAAAGTCAGTGCTCTTCATCAGTGGGACTAACATCCTCAGGTCAGTCCAGGTCTACACTGGAACTGTTGCTGAGCCATCCGTCAATATTTTCTCTGACAGCAACTTGTCAACTTGTCAAACTCTACGGTGAAGAAACTTTTTTTTCCCCTTCATTTCCTCTTTCTCTCTCTTTTTGTCACTTACACGTGCGTGCGCGCAGGGCCGGCGTCTCGGTAGGAGGCCTCGCTGCAGCTGGTAGAGGATTAAAAGGTCAGGAGTCAAAGGGGTTGGAGGGGTTGGGGGGGGCAGTCAACTGACAGACCGCGACAAGAAACTGACAGAGCAGAAAGAATTCAGGCAGAACTCAGCGACGCAGAGATCAGAACAGAATTTTTTTTTCCGCGCTCCACCGTGTGTTGACTTGGCCCAGAGCCGACCGCCTCCTGACGCCCGGACCACCAAAGACAGGCAAACAGATCAAACCAGCGGGGGGGGGGGATTGCACAAGAGTTGAACCACAGTCACTGAGTGTTGTATCGGTGAATCAGCCGCTCAGCGCCGTGATAGGAATCTGACAAAATCACATCAAAACAACGTCCGCGGCGTTCGTTTCTGTTTGTGATTATCTAGAATATTTTCCCGTGTTTCTCAGAGGAGAATCACTTCACTCTCCAAGCGGAGAATCTCTGACCTGATTCTCGTGTCAAAGTCAAACAGACAAACATCATTTTGTCTGTTATTTTAATCTGAAAAAACAAGTTGGCTCTTCTGCTGCGACACCGAAATCAAACAGAACCTTCTGGCGTCTCATCCAACGACGCCCGACTCATCGGAATAATCCAAATAACAAACAGTTTCACTTCATAAACGCGTACTGCAGACTAATAAAAGGCTGCGGCCCGCTGTCAGCCACACGCTGATGTTTGTTTGAGGGTAAAAAAAACAGAACCATGGACGTCAAAACATGGCAACAACTGAACACAGGCCGCAGTTAAATCCTATTAAAAACCTTTATGGACGAGCGAAGGTTTGATGGGAACATTTTCAAGTCGTCGTCTTCAGTTTACAGGAGCGCAAGACTCGGAATAAACGCAGGTAAAAATAAAAAAACAAGACTCGGAATAAACGCAGGTAAAAATTAAAAAAAAACAAACTTGTCTCATCTGAGTGAGAGATTTTTGGGTCAAAGATAAAACAAACAAACCAAAAACCCAACAATCAGTTTAATCTGCTCTGCACTTGACTCTCGCTCGCTCCCGTCTGTCGCCGTTCCCTGGCTGTGGGCGAGCGTGTGGTATTTTTTAATTTGGACATCTTGTTCACAGATGAGAGAGGAAAGCCACTTCAGAGAGGAACTGAAGCTTTAATACGCGGGCTGCAGAAGACGTGTGAGGTACTGAATACCATCACAGGGGGCTCCATGAACCAAACGGGGAGTTACTTCAGGGCCAAGGGAAACATCACGTACAGACCAACGCCTGGCGTCTCACCGCTACAGCAGATGCTAACTGAGCTAGCACAGTGTTAGCAGCTAGAAACCAGATAAAAGTCCCGAGTCTGGACGTTTCCACTTCCTGACGATCACCGCGTTGTGTTGTGAGGTGGACACATCTTGACGGCGTCCATGTTTTTATGTCACGTGTGACCCGCGGTGCCAACGCCTCGGCTCTGACCGTCAGCTGAACCGAGGCCGAGTGTAAACACAGACAGAACAGAACACAAGTCCAGGACCAGCGGTCAAACAGCTGCTGTTTGACAAATGGACGCAGAACAAGACAAAAAAAAACCTACATATGTTTAAGGCCTGTTTCTCTTTTTCACCTTCTAGACCAGAGGTGTCAAACTCAAATTCACACTGGGCCAAAATTAAAAACACGTTCAAAATCTATAATTATAATATATAATATATAATATAAAATAGTTCACGCTAGCGTCGGCCGAAGCCGCGTCCGTGTTGAGCTAATGCGAGGAAATCGCTCCGTCTCTCTTCGCATCAGACTCGCACTTGTGGTGATTAACACGGCTGGAGTGCACGAGGTCCGAGACGCAGACGCCGTATAAGGTGGTGGTCCAGTTTAGGGGGCGGGGCCCAACACGGCCCCACATGAAATCCCACAGAACAGATGCGATCTTTGACGGAGTGTGAGAGAGAGAGAGAGAGAGAGAGAGAGAGAGAGAGAGAGAGAGAGAGCG